CCTACTCTCTCTCTCTCGTCCTGCAGTCGCTCCGCTTCTCGGCCTGGGTCTTCTCCTCGCGGTGATGATCTCCGACGACGGGGACACAGCAGCTTTCTCTCCTCTCTCGCTATCTCTTGATCTGACAATAACTTTCTCTCGCACTTTCTCTCTCTCTTTCTCGCTCACAATCTCCGGCTAATCCGCGCGCGAAGGCTCTCGACTCGAGACTGACTCTACGTCCCATCGCAACTACTGTGCGTACCTCTCGACTTTTTTTTTTCTTTCTTTCTCTCTCTCATACCCGAGGGCCGCCGCCGCGACCCGAACAGTGGTGCGCGCGCTCACGCGTATTTTTCGCGCCGCTGTTGCTGCTGTGTCCCGTCGTCGCATCGTCCTCTTCTCCTTCTTTTCCGGGAGCCAAAACAAAAGAAGAATTCCGGGAAGGTAAGTCTTTGCCAGTGACGTCATACGCGTTGCGTCAGCGAGAGCGACATGAGCCGGGAGGCTCATTTTGCCTCGTTACACGTCTAATCTCTTTTTCGACGCGTCTTTCTCGGCCCGCGTCAAGTATGGGTTCGCCTCATGTGCCATCATGATCCCATTATGTAATCACTGGACTCGCCCGCAATATTCCATAATTAATTCGTTATTCCATTGTGTGACAGTTTTAAGCTCCGCTGCAAGTGTCTCTACTCCTCCCATTTTATTGAATTTCCGTGATGGAGCCGACAGAAACTCGTCAATTGAATTAAATAACGATAATCGCGTGCAGAACTGATCGTCCGCTATGCCCTGCAATTTACTTTCCAAAAGTCCTATGAAATATTTTTCATACAGGGCAGGCATTGTTTCCTTTATCATCCTAACCATTTGCTCAACTAAGGGAAACTGCACGGGGTCGCCATTATACAGTGATATACCATTTACTACGTTGTTTAGGTAGCCTAATATATTAAGATTCGAGCCTAAGGCTAACGGTACCCCTGTTTGTTGCCTATTACTAGGAGAAAATTGCATGGTTTGATGCTGAGGGTTATCCCGTATGTTATTTTGTGTCCTTTGAAAAAATTCTGACTGATTATTTATCGGCAGCTCGGTTGGTCGGTCAAATGCAGGGAAAAGGTATTCTGTATTTGTATACACGTCATTATGATTTTCTTCATATCCAAACCTCAGCCTATCTGTCCTATTGTTTGATGTATAGTAGTTATAATTTTTGTCATTTGAATGCAGAGGTGGCCAATCGCAGAATGGTATAAAAGGTTGTTCACTGTTTGTATTTTCTTGCTCTTGCCGTTTGGTATACTTTTCCTGCCAACTCGTTTTGCCTAGCCTTTTCACCCCTAATTAATCAGGTTTCCTGTCTACCCCAATGTTTTCCTTAATCGCATTCTCTTTTAATTCTAATTTTTCTGGTGCAATCTCCAACATCTCTATTTCTGCTGTTTCATTCGTTGGCTCTGCTAATCTTGTATTAGGATTTTTCTTAAATGAAATTTTTGGTTTTATATTTTTAAATATCTTTAACATAAGAACTTGATTTTTCTCATAGAGTGCATACGATTCGGGGTCGTGTTTAAACATAACCATTATTGTATCTGATTCTTCCTGTGTCATGGAAAAAGTTTCGTTTAAACCATCCCTACCGTTATTAATCTCTTCCCCGAGGTCGGACATCATTATTTCTTTCCCCTTTTTTTTTTCTTATATTATAGTGATGTGAGCTTAATTATATTAGTTGATTTCAGTCCACGCACGAAGAAATAATAGAGAAAAAAGGATTCCTATTTCATTTTCGATTCTGTATTTCTATTTTACTGGCTTCTAAAACGAGCGGAACTAGCCGTATTCGGGTTAAATATTATTTTTTTTGTACGTCGTTTCTGTAGCTAAACAACCCCGAGGGACAATAAGTATACATATTTAGAGGATAAAAAAATTGTTACTTACTCTGACAGAAGACATGAAACGATGAGCGCCAATATACTCCAAGTCATCCTCTTTAAGATGGGTCCTTTTAAAACTGGATGTTGACTCTAGTCCTTCGTTATCGATAGCAGCTGCAAGTGACTGCCTTGAATTTTCTGCGCCTGTTGTTGCACTGCACTATGTGTGCTTCCCGATTGTCGCCCGAAAATTCCGAAATATTACGTGTAAAAAAAAATTTTTATTTCGTGGCAAAACCTACCCCACACCTAGCACCAAAACTGTTACGTGGGATTCTAAAGGTTCAGGGTGCTTAATAACAACGTTACAGTTAAACTCAATCAATCACTTTATTTCTATATTCCTTGAGGGAAGGCGCTTTGCGGTCCCGAGTTACTTATTGCGACTATCCTCTTTCTAGTCCCGACGTTCTAGAGCCCTGTGGCCACTGCTGCGGGCCTTTTTATGCTCTTTCTTCCCCCACTTGTGCTCCTTCCTAATACTAATAGCTGAGGCCCATCCCACGTAGTATGTTCCATACTGTACGTGACAATGTATAAGAATATTTTTTTCACCTGAATAATACAACAATCTGCTTAAAAAAATAAAGAAATCGTCAAGAGGTATGACAACCTTAAAAAGCTATGACGATTGTTTTTCCCAAGCCATCGTAACAATGTGAAAATGGTAGTTTTCCTACGAGTTTGAAAAGTCTCTGTGTGCGAACCGAGAGGTTTGCGGCCCGAGCCGAAGGCGAGGGACGTAACGAGGTTCGTAAAGGAGACTTTTCGAACGAGTTCCGGAAAACTGCTTTTTCGCCCGAGGAAGTACTAGCCTCCCAAAACCACCCGAGGGCGGAAAAGTAATTCTTCTGAGTCCTGAATCATTGACATCGGTCAAAAAGTCTGAGATCACACACATGCAAGCATACGAATACGCACATTAAGATTTATATGATTTACCAAGTATTTAGTTAGTTATCAATGTTACTATTATTCAAATTATTACCTTTAAAATTATGAATTAGCCTTGCCGGCTATAACTATTAACGTAATAAATTATTTAATAGTCAGTTGTTGCGTAGGATTCTATGTACGTGACACAGTATTAAAAATAAAATTTTTTTAAGATGCCCGAAAAAAAAATGTTGACGATATTCATAAATTAAAATGAAAGTTGCAATAAGAAATTTGGTGCCTCGATGCCTTGTTGATGCAAGGGCATGGTAGCCTTTGTGCGCAATGGAAGCTGTCAAATTATAAGTGCTGCGACAAGGTCACTAGCTCACGTTGATCTCGTTACCAAGCGTAAATGGAGTTACTCGTGCAGCAATTATATTGAGCCGTAAATCATAAATTTTCACTGGGCTAGTTTCCAGAGCCCGTCGACCTTGATTAAATGAACAACAATGCAACAATTGAATTTGTATTGAACAATAAAGATTTATTCAAAGAGTCAACAAAACTAAATATTTACAAGAGTAGTTTAAAGTTATCACTTGCGAAGAAATGCGTGGAGCGATGACAATGTATAACTCGCGATAATTAAATTAAACTTGATTCGTGAAGAAAATTGTAACGACGGCTTACCAAATGCGACGTCGTGCGAGAGAGCGAGAAGTGTTGACGAAAGGTGTTGAGAAATAGCCCTTTTGGCAGCTAAACCGTATCAATGTAGTTTGACGGAAGAAGCCCAAGACGGCGTCTCGTTGATGATCGAGACGAAGAAAAAACCAAACCGTTGACTCCGAGGAGAAAGCCGTTGTGGTCAGCGCAGGTACAGTCTCCGCTCGCTTCGACTCTCCGCTCGGAAGTGAAAAGTGCTCGGCGTCTCGAATGCGCCCGAGCACCAGAAAGTAGAAGGAGAAGAGGGAGGGCCACACTAACTATTGAGTTTGTAGGTATTGAAAATAACTTTATAGTAGTGGGCTCCCTCTGCTCCCTCCTCCCTCTATCCCATTTATTAGTGTGTTCATTACCCGTCTCTCTCGCACGACAAGTTCGCTTCCGATACGCGTCACTTGCAAGTGACCAAAATTGAAATAGAATACTGAATTATATTAAAAAAAAAAATTTAACGGCAATCAGAATTAAACCCCAAATCGCCAAAATATGCCGTCGAAGGCATAAGCCCTAGTCATCTCAGCTATTCAAACTTCGGACCTCATACAACCTAAAGTCACATATGTTCATTGATACCCTCCGGAGCTTGGCCTACAGTTCATAGCGATTATGATAAGTAAAAATAATAATTTATATTTAAGGTGCTTATAGCCATACTATCAACCTCAAAAAATATTTCAAGCTAAATATTTTTTCAACGTACTTTGATACGCAGTACTAAACGAAAATTCAAAGTATAAGAAGAACTAAAAAATAAATGCCTTGAAAGTCTGAGCTTCCAATTGCGTAAGCATTTATTTGTATGATTTAATTTTCGAAAAATAATATGGCTAGCCTCTCTTAAGCTTTCATATGTTATAGAGAGATGTTAAATGAAAGAATAGGTTTTTTATTTTATAAATATTAGATGTAAAATCTTTTTTTTCTCTATTTCCCCTTAATTTCTAAGACCTTATTGAAGAAGTTAGTATATAGCGAGAAAGACTCGTCGCTTTCTTTCGCTATGATATACGCGGGTATATAGTTATATAGCTGTAGTCGGCATTTCCATGCACCACTCCTCTCTCCGTAGGCAAATATTCAGTATATCCCTTCCACGCGTCTCCAAAGTACGAGGTGTGTTCAAAAAGTATCGCGAATTTTGAATTTCCGTGGGTTACGTATATTCGATTTTCGATTTTTTTGTGGCGTTATGTTGGTACTCATGTTCCTCATTTATGCCGACAAGTACGGCCATTTTTAATGTTCAGTTAATTTTTGACAGCTGCTTTGCTTGCACGTGTTTTGGCTCGTCTTCGATTTTTGCCTATTCCAAAAAATGGATCAAAGAATCTGTATCAAATTTTGTGTGAATAACGTCATAACCATAAACCCATGATTCGTCACCAGTTATGACCCTCTGGAGCAAATTTGGGTCGTCGCGGACAGAGTCCAACATCTCCTGAGCAATGTTAATGCGATGCTGTTTTTGGTCGAAATTGAGCAATTTTGGTACGAATTTCGCGGCGACCCGTGTCATGCCCAAATCATTGGTAAAAATCGAATGGCACGAGCCAATCGATATGTTATGGTCCTCAGCAACTTCTCTAACGGTGATTCGACGATTGACCAATACTATTTTCTTCACTTCATCAATGTTTTCGTTTGTTGTTGACGTGCTTGGGCGTCCGGCACGCTCTTCGTCGTTCACATCTTCTCGGCCCTCGGAAAACATTTTGTACCACCGATAAACGTTGCTTCGGTCCAAGGTAGCTTCACCATATGCCACAGTCAACATTCGGAATGCGTCCGCGCACTTAATTTTGTTTTTCACACAAAAAGTTTGATACAGATTCTTTGTCCCATTTTTCGAATAGGCAAAAATCGAAGACGAGCCAAAACACGTGCAAGCAAAACAGCTGTCAAAAATTAACTGAACATTAAAAATGGCCTTACTTATCGGCATAAATGAGGAACATGAGTACCAACATAACGCCACAAAAAAATCGAAAATCGAATATACGTAACCCACGGAAATTCAAAATTCGCGATACTTTTTGAACACACCTCGTATGTCCCTACATGCCCATTTCCACGCGAATCCGTAGGGACACACTCGGTATATCCCCTCCACGCTTCTCAAATAAAAAAAAAAATTTGTGTGCTTGGTTCGACCGCTTGGCCGCGACGGGGCGCTCGAAACAGTGGCCACTAAACTCAAAATTCTGTGTTAACATTTTCTTATTATATTTTCCCCTTTCCTCTCGGAGCCGGGGAAGCTCGGCGCGAACCTCCCTGTTGGTAAGTAAGTAAACAGTACGTTACAAGTTTAAGGAAACACTGAAGGTTACCGCACGAAGTACTAGGAAACTCCGAAGCAGCGGTAACAACAATCAGTGATAGATGTAAGTTATTCATCAGTAATAAAGTTAACGCTGAACCTTGTTAAAGTGACCCGATTAAATTGTATTTAAAAGAACAAATGATTTTTAAATTGCTTCAATAAATAAATACATTAATTAATGAAGGGTTTTGGGTGAGGAAATGAGGAGACGAATAAACAGATTTTAATTTATAACTTGATTTATTTAACTGACTTTACAAAGACTAACTGACGACCGACTATAACTGACTTTCTAAATGCACAGGCTTATAAAATGCAAAGGAGAGCTAAATGTTACGTGTGCACTTGACTACGGTCAAATCAAAACTGGACGCACACCTGACTGGCGCTGTACGTGCCTCTCCTCTAACACAAACACGCATACGCTCGCGCAGACGCGCATGCCTACAGCCTATCGATGTAGTCGTGCACTTCAACAATTAAAATTACCCATATTATTTAAATAAAAATTATTATTCAATACAAAAAGAACAAATAAAGCTCACGAGCTGAATCCTAAGAGACCCACGAATGACACTTAAATAAAACAGTCAAGACCATACTCTAAACAATTCCGGTCATAACAAATTGTTAGAGTAGCATTTCAAATGCAGTACTGGCCTGTTTTCGTTCACTCGTAGATTCGAAAATAAGTAAACTTGAATCACAGAAGTAACTTCAAACTATTTATTAGTGTTGAACAAATACACGATATCTTAATAACAGCAATACGTCTTACTTCTACGAAATCTCAGACGAAAACAGATGCAGGAAAGAAAAAAAAAAAAGAGCTCAAGCTTTTGTTTATTTAAACGTTACCATGACAACAGAAAAAAGTATAAAAGAACAATAATAAATTGACAATCGTCTCAGAGCCACCGTCCGCGGTAAGCCTCTACGCTTTCCCGCCCCGTGCCCTGTGTTCCTTTAGGGAAAACGTGCCCCCAATGGCTCTCTACAGCTATCGTGTCACGGCTCACGATTCCGACGACTCTACAGCCGGTATCGGCGAAGCGACTGTCAAACTCAATAATGCAAATAACAAATTAAAGCTCTGTTAGGTCTTTACATTACGAGACGTTCGTTCTGTAACATGGCCTGTTACAAATTTATTACAAATAACAACTAAAGAATGTATCAGTAAAATTATTGGCCACATCTTTGTATTTCTTATTTGTTTTTACATGATTTGCCAAATCCTTCAGTCGCTAAAAGTTGAAATTTTTTCAAATTTTCTGCTTCCGACGATATCACAATTGTAGAGCATAATCGTTCCAGTGTCTTATTCATCATCGATTGTAATGGAACTCATACTTCAGTTTTCGTTTTTACATTATAATTTATCAGGTATAATTTTCTAATTACTTTATTTACTCGAATTCTGTTTTCATGTTTTCACAAGCCACCAATTGTTTAGACATTTATATTTCTATTTGAATTAAAATGTTGAGCATAGCTGTCAATTTTAACTAACCAATAAGACTGTTTATATATCAGAAATAATTATGTTATTTGGAATTGGGTCATTAATATTTATTCTTTTATTGTCAACGTAAATTGAAAACCATTATCGACGAATTTTTGGAATGAAAGCAAGTTTTCGGCTAGATCTCTTGAACACACGACATTTTCAAGTTTGACGAATTTGTTAATGTTAATCCTTTTTATATCTCCTACTCCCTCTATATCTAAGTTTGTGAAAGATTCCCTGTTAGTGCACCGAATTGAACCTATAGTTCTATTATTAAAAGTTTTACTATAAATTTTATAATATAATTAGAATATCGCACAACTCGGTTAAAAATGTGTTTTTTAGTAGTTGTTTTTCCAACAAAGTAGCTAGAGATTAGAACCACGTTCTGCTACCAATTTTTTTGTTAAATGATCAATCATTGTCGATCATTTAACTTTCTTTTATTTTCAACTAAAGTGTATGAAATGGTCAAAGGCCAGTAAAGCTCCTGGTCTTTGGTTGATTTTTTGCCGGGACCGGGAGCACACCAGGTTGGGGAAAGGACGTTAGGCAATGAAGGGGCGCCGTAGAAAGTGTTAAAATAAAATGACACACAACACAGCACTTATGTTGAATAACATTAAACACAACCAAATTACTTTATTCAAGCAAATAATAAAAGGTATTATATGACCTAGAAATCACTATAGAGCGTATTGGATCGAATGACTTGAAAATAGAATTAGAAGACGATCGCAGTAGATGAGAACTATTAAACTAGTTGTGAACAGAGAAGTAAGTATTAAAACTGAATTTACAGTGGTGTTTAAATAACCGAAAAGAAAAAGATGGCAGAGTTATGCTGGTATACGCATGGGCAGTGCAACACGTGAAAAGGAGCTGCAGGAGCAAAGACGATAAAACACGTCTGTCCGCTAGCTATGTACGAAGGAGACTGACCCGCACATTGCGTGTATCAGTGTACACGTTGCGCAGCGCTACACTCTCACCCATGCATACACACACGCATACATCTAGTCCTATAGTCACACGCTAGAGACTCCTAAATACAATGCAGTTAGCTAAGGCGGTCTATATTTCGTTTAATGCGCCCAACAAAACCCGATAAAGATCCTGAATTTTAAACATAAAGGTTAAAAAGTTGTAGACTGGATTTCACGCTTCCTTACGGGCGATAAAGATAAAGTAAGCTACTGTTAAATATTCAAGAATAAGGCAAACTCAAGAAGGTTGACTACCTTGAGTAAATGACAGTCAGTTTTAATTAAAATTTGTGCAAAGCTTCAAAAATTTGTAAAAAACATTTATGATAAGTTTCAACAACTATGGGTGCTTATGAAACGAGAAATTAATGAAACAAATTTTGTAAATTTTACATACGTTCTAATAAGAGATCACGAAAGCCACTCTTATAATGAAAAATTTTAATACAATTAACAGTTAGATTTGGACAAAACTGTAGCCAACAGTAAATTAACATCTGCCTTTTTATTATGTAAAACAATCACGTCGATTAGGTCTTCGTAAAAATAGTTATTAAAAAATAATCTGGAGTGTTAAAACAACTCAATGTTAAATTACGGGACATGCGCACGCATTTCTAACCTAGAAAAGGCACAAAGTCGGACCTCTCTCTCACACCCCCTCCAAAAGTAGTCAACCTCCTTAATTAACTTTAAGTATCGTTCTCTCTGAGCTACGCCCTACTAGCTAAACCGCCGCGCGAACAAAATTTCGTTTTCAATCGCTCGATCTGCTATGTTCAATAACTTTTTCATCCTTTACAACGTATTTAGGATAGTCAAGAGTTATGTAATAAAGGGACGAAGAAAAGAGCTCCTGAAGCTGCTTCGACCTCGCGCAGCTGTAATCCTCTTACCGCGCACTTACTAATGTAGCCTACAAACTCGATATTTTGTTTATGTTTTATATTGATTTTTATTGAAATACACTATAATGTGCTACGAGATTTTGCTGACTGAATTTAGAAACTACAACTAACCAGTAGATACATTTTTTTTAATCTCTGTATTTTTACAAATTTTTTTTGCGGGATAAAAAATTGAGGTTAAATTTTATAAGGAATTATTGTAAAGAGCTTAACTTAAACACTCGTTCACTTTAAATAACGACGATTCTTAAAAAATATTGGACAAATTGAAAGTGACTTTAGACACTCTTGTACATGGATTTTCTAAGTTAGTGATTAGCGATCTTTCATCTGACTTGTAACTATCTTCCTATTTTTGATTGATTTTTTCATTTACTACACAATTTCATTTTTTGATGAACTTGTAACACTTTGACTATGTTGATAAATAATTAAAGCAGATAGCAAATTAGCTCTGCAATGATATATTACTTGTATGTGGTATTCTTGGCGCGTTAGTACATTTGGATATGCAATTGTACGACTTTTTAAGATATCGCAGTGGATGAATAAAAGTCAGATACGTATTGCTCTACTATTAATAAATAAAATTGTTAGTAACAATTTTTATTTTATTTCTTATTAACTGTAGGTATTATACTTGGTGAATTTTTCTGTTTTAGTATTAATACAGTATTTATTTAAATCTTTAATCATTAAAAAATTAAATTCCGAAATGTCTAAACGTGTAGAGAGAAATTAAATAATATTGATTTTGATCTCAATATAAAACATGAGGCACAAGTTTTTTTTAACTAGAAATCTTAGTTTATACTCCAGAGTCTAGAACAGCTTAAAATTCTACGTTCAGCCACACTGTGTAATGCTAAAGATAAAAAGTCACATAAAGTTAAAAAAATTTTCAGCTTTATCGTTATGTTCAAACTAAAAAAAAAAACTGCATCTCATTTTTTCGTTACTTTGCACTTGAATTAACCTTAAAATAAT